CATAATTGCGCATTTATATACAGATATTTTTGTTCATCTACATTAACAAAAGGCACACGGATACATAAACACTTACTCTACTACATTCGAAGAAGACGTTCGTATGTACGTACGTATGTATAGACGATGCGTTCTTTCAAACGATAACACGATACAACGAAACACACCGAAACGCGCACACACAAACACATACACACACACACATACACACACAAACATACGCAAATACTAACGTACGTACTAAAACCCTGTGCGGTTTTAAATTGCAGTATTCGCACCTCATCCACTGTTACCGAAAGCGAATTCCAAAAAATTTATAAAAATTTTCAGGATAAAATTTTTCTTATTTTGTTCTCATTCCAAAAATTAAATTTTAACACACAAACACACACACACACTCACACAAACATACGTAAATTCACGCACATACATCACACATGCACACATACATACATGCGCGCACACACATATGCACTTACACTACACACACATACACGCACACACATACACGCACACGCACACACACACACACACTTACACGCAAACCTATGTGCACATACCGTTATTAACTAGGGATGAAAAATAAAAAACTATTTATTATCAGAAGATTTTAATCCGGGAAAATATCATCAACTTCAACCTGATTCATTCTAGGGAGATAGAAATTAACTTTTAATCTCCTAAAATATTTTTTGAAAAAACATTTAAATTTTTCATTTTAACAAAAACAAATCTTTTTACAAAAGAGAGAGAGAGGGAGGGCGAGAAAGAAAGAGAGAGGAGGGAGAGAAAGAGAGAGAGAGACGATAATGAGAGTGAGATAGAAAGAGAAAGTGAGTGAGACAAAATGAAAATATAGATGTCGAACATAACCTCAATCTTATTTATTTCACTTTAACAATTTGATGCACTCAAATGACGAAACGATGTTTAAAAAATCACATGTCCTTTCTTAACCTTACCGAAAAAATGCAGTAAAAACCGGTTTAAAAGACCAAACATTTAAGAACGTGGCAGTGACTGGATTGATCGTCGCGATGACAATAAAAAATCCTTGAAGATGCAACTGTGCAATGATCTATCTTGGGCTGAAAGACATTCCTTGTACTGTACAAGTTAGAGTTTATTACAAAAATGCGGCAAATGTTTTCATAAGATTGAATACATTTCAATATTCAGGGCGTGCCAACATAACATTTAAGGGCTGATCAAGGGCGTGATCTAGACAAGTTTGACGGGGGATAGGAACTGAAAATTTGTGTTAGATGAATCTTCAAACAAGTGCAACAAAATCCCCCACTGATTATCCACTACTAACCACTGCGTTGAAATTGTCAGGTAAGAAGTTTGAACCTCGTACGTGTCTGGCTTGAAATAAAAATTACCTTTCATACAGGCTGACTTGAATGAAGAAATTTGAAAGAAATAAAAATTTGAAAGTAAGAATTTGCGTCGTTAGCAAACTTATGGAGAGCACATGAATTGAATTCACGAATTATCACGGGTACTGCCGAAAACTGATTTTCACATCATTCTATTCCAGAAATCATTTTTCAATAAATAAAATAATTTAATGGAAAAGTTTTTTTGTTCTATTAACCAAACCGGCTGGTGGTTCCACTTCATGTATCTTCACTTGAGAGAGAGAAAAAGAAAGAGAGAGAGAGAGAGAGAGAGAGAGAGAGAGAAGAGAAGAGAAGAGAAGAGAAGAGAAGAGAAGAGAAGAGAAGAGATAGAGAGAAAGAGAAAAAAAAGAAAAAGAAAGAGAAAAAAAAAGAGATGGGGAGTTGACATTTAAATGATAATTTTTTTTCCCAAAAATAGTTTTTCAAATGAAATAATCCAGTTGCTGACGATTCTCAGAATTCATATTTTGACCTCATATGTTAGCAATTGCAAATGCAACATAGTCAAGGGCCAAGATATACACACACACACACACACACATGCACACAACACACAAAAACACACACCAACAACAATAAAACACACAGACACTCGCGCACGCACAACATTATGGCAACAAATAACCGACCATCGAAGAACCATTACCATAATTACCATCATTTTAAAGTGAGTAACGTAACCATTCATATTAATTACAATTATGACGTCATCATACGTTTGAGGAAAAAATTGAAACACAATCAAGAACAACAATGGTACACGCACATTTAGAGCACACACACAGACACACACAAACACTCACACACACAAACAAACAAACATGCACAGGTATGTATGTATTTTGTGACGTTTACAAGCGCCAAACATCTTTTTATATGAGTAAACCAAAAAAACTATTTCTAATAATAGGCAATAACTATTTAATAATAATATCAAAAATTGTAATCAATAATAGTAATAATAATAATCAATTATAATAATAATATTAAAAATAAATAATGCGTTATTAAATTAACCATTTAAAGGACAATTGATACATAACGGATGAATGTTAATACAACGTTAATTGGGAACTTTTCAATCAATTTTTATAAACGAATCACTATTATTTATTATTTATTTTTCATTTAATAATTATTATATCGGGGGATCGATATGATATATATGTGTATGTATGTATATATGTGTGTATATATATATATGTATGTGTGTGTGTATGTGTATGTGTATGTGTGTGTTTGAGTGTATGTGTGTTTGTGAGTGTGTTTGTGTGTGTGCATGCATATAATGATAC